GCTACGATGCTGAAATTTTCTGACTTTTCCTAAAACTAAATTGGGCACATTCCCTGAAAATTTCAAGTTCATAACTTTACCAGGGGCGGCTCCAGAGCACTGGGAATTGGGGGGTCCTATTCGTGAAGCGAGTCATTTGGGCGAAGATCACGATGCTGCACCAGTTTTACGAACAGTGAATGAAAGGTACCATGTGATAACATATACAGTTATTGTGCATCCTCTTTTGACACGTTTTTGCTATAATAGGCGGATCCAGGCGTCCAAAAAGGGGGGTTATGTTTTACCTCCCAACATAGGTGCCCTGACACCGCCTATGCATGACCAATACAATTGTAGTCGTTCTCTCATAAGAAAATTGTAACATAACAAGACCATTACCACCCTTTTTAGAAACAGTACCAACAAAAACCTTATTTACTATACTTTTTTGTGTACCCCCAATCTCAATGATCTGTATCCGCCTATGATTTTTGAAAATGCATATTTTTAGGATCCATGTGAATTCCTGGTTCATTCTCTATCGATCGGCAAAAGTTGCGTTAAGATTGGTTCAGAAACCTGGCCGTGATAAACAGTCTAAAATGTGTCTGCAATTTGCCCGTTTTTACCCCCCTCTACCCCCCCCCCCCCCCTATTGACATTTTTTAATTTTTTATTTTTTTAGAAATGTAGATCACGTTAAGCGAAATCGAATGCCGTTTGAATTTTGAAAATCGGCCCATTAGATCTCGAGATATCAAGGGAGGTCGTAAACAGCCCCCCCCCCCCTGCCACTAATTAGGGGTAGCCAGGAGCCTGCCACTAATAGGGTTAAATGCAGCAATTTGACAATCTTGAACTTTCCCTGACGGTCATTGTTGACTCAAATATACGCCGTTCGTTTATGCATGCAATAACACGAGTGTCATGACGGTACATTTTGACATCAGGCAATACAAGTTATATGTATGACCTTATGCACTTGACTATCGATGTGATTCTCAGACCTATGTCTTTCGACTATCGGTGCTGACCGTTCAGTCGCGACAGACTTCAATACTGCAACCATAGTTCGTTGCAATAGTTCAATCGTTTGCTTACCATATCACATGTTTGCTGTCGGCTTAGGAATCAGATGCCACCAGTCTACACGCATACCATACAGTCCTCAGTAGCGGCGGAACACCTTCAATTAAGGGGGGAGGGGTGGGCACTGCCGACTTTTGGTCCCATTCTTTCCATTCAACGCCCATAGGGCTAATGTTGAAATGCCAAAATCAAAGAGAGGCACAGTGCCCCGGTGCCCTCCCCGTTCCGCCGCCTATGACAGTCCTGATGGCCACCTTTCGTAGCGGGCGTGCCTTGCCGTCTCCGGAACTGTCTGGAGCCGCTCTTATGTCAACAAAGCCCACCCTCTGTCGATTTTCCAGCTGCTTTTTGTCTCACGCTGTTGCGCTGAGGAGGCTGGTGTTAGGCCCTTAGTAGTGCGCGGCGTTGTAGTCACCGGCGGATCCAGTCACCGCGCGGGGTAGGCTGTGCCGCACTACCTCCATGGCCGACCGCAGCGCTATTGCTATGACCGGTCGCCTCGGGTCAGTTGGGTCACTGCGGACGGTGAAATGGGTATCAGACGAGCCGGGAGTGTCTCAGTGACCGGTGGAGCGGTGCGCAGTGTTCTCTGCACCTGGCCCGCGGCGACCACGTGATCAGTCGAGCACGAACGGCGGCACCTGGACGATGGTCACGTGACGGGCGGACTCTGGAAGGACGTGGTTACTGGTCAGGCTCAGTGAACGTGACGAATGTGTTCGGTGTGCACCTGGACCGTCGGTATGTGCACACTCGAGACATTTCTAGAAGGCAAGGCTTTTTTACTTGTCCATTCGATAAAAAAAGCTACAAAGATACCGAATTCAGTGCAGCTAATTTTCACTTAAATATATTTTTGTCTCTTCTTCTGGGTTAGGGCACGTAGCAGCTTGGCTCTTGCGTCCAACAATATTTTTGTCATGCGATGAACTTTGAATTCCAAAATAAACGGAACAGCATGTTGTGGTTAGAATACCATTGCCATGGATGGAACACTTAATGATTAAACGCTATTTAGTGGTATGATGAGTGTAACCGTATGCACTTTTTTATCTAAACTGTCACAGATACTCGACCTCCCCAGGCGCGTGTCACGCGGAGGAAGCGGTGGTATTACCGGTCACGCGCTGCTACCTACCCAGTCAGCGGGACATGACGGCTGCACAGGGCGCATTACCCGGTCATAACCTGCGGTCATTTGGAGCCTCCGGTCATGAACCGCGGTCAGAAGGTCCGCTGACCGCTCCTGACCGAAGCACTCATGGACATTGGACACGTTGAGATAGAGGTGAGAAGGAGGGCATCTCGTAGGTCTGTCTTCAATTGAAGTGAATAATTTTAGGCGGTGGATTTGTGGTAAATTAGTGGGCTTCTTTTTTAATGCGCAAAGTTTTTAGTGACGTCTGAGGCTACTTCTTTGAAGTCTGCGTCCGTGGCTAGTGGCTACTTCATTTTAAATGTTTCGTGATAAATTTTGGAATTTAAACATGTTCATTAAACGAACACGATATCTCACTTCTTCAACTTCGCTCAGAAATAGCATCCGGTTTATGAGGATTCACATATTTGCGCTGCCCTGAGGCTGTTTTGTATAAATTCAAACGCTGGCGTTTCCAGTTGCGTTTCGTGCGAGTGAACAGGCGGCTGGCGGCTGTCGGAATGGGCGACTGTTCGCGGCGCAGCCGTCAACCACAGCCGACGGGTCTGAGTGCCTCACCTGTAAACAGGTCGGAGCGGGGTCTGTAGCCGCTGACAGCAGGTGAGCTGGTGCCAGCCAGAGGGAGGGTGGTGACCTCAGGGAGGAAGGGGTGGTGACCTAAGGGGTGGGGATGGGGTTGGCTGCTAACCTTAGGGGAGGGGGGCTGGCCGTTCACGCTGGCTGCTGAGTGGTGAACTGAGAGATAAAGCTATTGATGCTGCTACTGGGGAGGGCGTTGTCGGTTTGAGAAATGTCTTAAGAACTGAAGATTTTGTGATTTAGGCTACAAGCTATGCTAACGCGTTAGTTAACTTTAACGTCACGTTATAACACGTTATAACGTGAGAAATACGCCTGTTGAACCCAGAATAAATAAATTAACTAAAAGTTGAATAATCTTATATTAAAAATGTCCTGATCAGGCAAAATATATGTATTGCATCAAAGCAAATGAACATGCTGGAAACTGGTTCTTTCAATAGCGTTCGGTTTGATAGCGATGGCGTTCATCTTGAGTCGTGTTGTTTCGGTGCGTCACCCCACCAGCCGAGCTCTGGCCGTGTTGCCGCGCTGTGAAAGTGACCGAACGTCCCCATACCCCCGCGACAACCGGCCACTAACGCAGCTCTGGCGGCCGCAGCCCGTCGTGTTCCGCCGGCCACCCCGCCTAAGTGTGCGACGCATGATCGAGCCAGGTCTAAAAACAATGCCGTGCGCAGCGCTCGGGGGAAGCGGTGTGGACGCGAACCGTTCTGGCGGCCGAGCCCCGTCCGGTTTTACAGCCATCCCGAGCGCCGTGTAATGGCGTGCTTATTCATATGTGGCGCGGAGAAAGGATGTGGCTGATCCGGGAGATGAGTGTCGTTCTCCAAGGCTGGGGAGAGAACGTCTGCAGCGCACCTCAGCTGGACAGATGGGAGCTGCCGAGGGTGCTTCCGGATCGTGGGGAGCCTCGGACAATCGGAGGAGAGGTTTGTCATCAGTATCACAAGGCTGTTACGACCTAGATGGAAAATGGGGACTGAATTTGTTAATGAGCCCCTCCTTTCCCCCTTGCTGGAATCAATTGTGTCAAGTCGCACCGAACCCCACCGTGTAAAGCAAAATAATCTTCATCACTGACATTTGACATGAGACTCTCATTCCAAGATATGAGACAGATTTCCGAAACACTGTTTGCTTGTAACTCTACTAGAATCTCCGGACGACTAGCAATGCCGCCCTATTGAGCTTGTTACCTATGTGATATACCTTCCTCACGCCGGCCTTTCGTGAGGACGGACGTCGATGGTATGTATGTACGAGTACTCGTATACGCCGCCACCAACAAAGCCGGCGGCCGGCTCCAACCGTGGGCAGGCGATCCGTCCAGTTGCCAGTGACAAATGAAACCTCGGGCGGCCGGACGTCGCCGCGCGGCGCGGTGACAAATGCGCCGCTGCTCGTCTGACTGTGACTATCGCGCCGCAATCGCCGCAGCGCGCCGCTCCTTGTCGCCCGACAACGTAATTACAGCCGGTAAGAATGCGCCAAACCAAATCATCGCTAGACCAAACACGGGCGAAAAACCACTCGGTAAAAACTGGTCAGATGGATATTTAAATGGTGCAAAAACAGGAATGACGCGCAATTTATTTGTCGCTCGCCGCAAGGTGAGACAGGTAAAAAAGCCAGTGATCCGTCATTTTCGCCATTTCCGAACTGATGTTTTCGTTCCGTTTTCTGAGTCCAAAAACCGTAATTAGGTGCATTTATTCGAGCGTGCCCACAAAGCTCCATGCAGTGCAGATGTGTGCTACTCATCGGCAATTGCCGCGAGTTATGACGCATATGCCAACAGTAGGACAAAGCAGGTTTGTGCGGCGGCACAATGGGTTGCGCGGCGGCTGCCGAGGGGTGTTTGTCGGCGGGTTAGCAGCGCTTCAGGGCTGCATTAGCGACTGATGGACGGATTAGAGCCGGTGTCCGTTACGGAGCTGTCTAGAAGAGGGACTGCAACCCTAACGACTCAATTACACACGGCGCCGAGGTAGCAACAACTGACAAACACTTCAGGCGGCCACACACACCGTAAACGGTGGGATAGTTCGTGCATCTGCGGATATTTTTCAGCCGTTATAAGCCTCATAGACAATAGACATTTCTTAAAACCAACGTTACAGACATTCGCCGCCAGCCGTACATGTATTGTACAAACAAACATAAAAGCAATCAGTCTGCGTTGGTGCTCCGCACGAGCCGCGACGCTCCGTGTTGCGCGAGCCGCCGGTATTTCGAGGCGGCTTGTTTCCTCATGGAGGAACGGTTCAACAACCTTCTTGAGAGGTTTGACAAGTTGGAAAGCTCAGTGGAGTGCAATCAGTGAGCATTTGAAGACCGACACCGCCGGTCGTCGGCTGGTCGACACTCAAGAATGCGCAGACACTCAGCCGCAGCCGCTCGGTGAGTCTGAAGTGGGCGCGAGCAGTGATCTGCAGACAGACTTTAAGAGCATTCGCGAAAGTCTGGCGAAGGTCAGACTACCACCGGACTTGGTGGTCGGTGATTGAAGAGCAGGCGTCAGCAAGGCTGACTGGCCGAAGTTCCAGGTCATTCAGAAGTGTGCGCGGTATCAGGAGACCGTATTGAAACTGCTCTCTCAGTGTACAAGCAGAGAACCCGTCCTCTCTGAACTATCGACTATAGCTATCGCACAACTCCGGTACCTGCAAGAAGAGTATACCAACCTGCTGGTGGCGAACCAGTTTGATGACGGGACGACCAGGCTGTTCCAGACGCTGCAGCAGAACCCGGCAGCTTTCACGCCGGGGGCGCTGGAAAATCTGCAGCGAGCCGTGTCCATCGCCGGAGCGCGACACAACCGGCAGGTCAGTGGCTCTGGAAGGTTCCGCGGGCGGGGCTCATTCTTCCCGTTCGCTTCTGGCGGTCCGGGCAGAGGCTACCGCCTGGACGCGGCGGGTCAGCGACCCGGCGGCGGCGCGGCGGGCTCGGGCTCCGGATCAGCTGACTGGAGGTTCCGCCGCGGGCGGTTCGGGTACGCACCCGGGCCTCGTGACCTGGCCGCCCGAGCGCAGCAGCCGGATGACGTCACAGGGACATTCTCAGCTGAGTAAACCATCACGTGAGTTGTGAGGGGAATTATGCCGCTGCATAAGGACGAGTGGGTGCGCATTGGGGCGCCTGATGCAGTTCTGGACTGGATTATGAATGGTGTGCCGGTGCCTGTGCGTGACATTCCAGAGCCCCGTGTCTTTGAAAATCCCTGTTTTAATGAACCAGAGAAAAAGTTTTTGGAAACTGAGCTGATGGCGCTAGAAAAGAGAGGTGTTATAGAAAAAGTAGCTGACGTGCCGCATTGTGTCTCCCCTTTGAAGGTTGTTCCAAAGAAAAATTCCAAATATCGCCTCATTTGTGACTTGAGATATGTGAATTCTCACTGTGATGTGCCACATTTTTCGTCAGAAGGTGTTTCTGTCCTGCCAGAGGTTATGAGAGGTGGTGAGCTGGCGGTCACTGTAGATTTAAAGGACGGATTTTATCATTTCCCTGTCCGTGAAGAGTTCAGAACGTATCTGGGTTTCCAGTATGGTGGATGCTGGTATGTGTGGTGTTTTCTACCATTTGGTTTGGTGGCTAGCCCGTACTATTTCCACAAATGTATTCGGGTGGTCATAGAGTATATGAGAGGGACCGAACGCCTGTCGGTCATGGCCTACGTAGATGATTTTTTATTGACGTCAACGAAGAATAGAATGGCCAGTGACGTGAAAATATTTTTAGATACTTTAGCTTCATTAGGATTGTGTGTCAACTGGGAGAAGTCGTGTTTGGAGCCGTCAAATGTTGTGTCTTATTTGGGTTTCGATGTGCACTGTGCGTCCGAGGGTGAATTGCCGTTCATTACTGTGCCTAAATGCAAAGTGTCGAAGCTGAAGCAGGATATAGGTAGGATGTTAAAGCGGCCCACTGTGTCGGCGCGTCTGCTGGCTCGCATCGCGGGTAGGTGTATCAGTATGATGGCAGCGGTGTTCCCGGCCAAGCTGAAGTTGCGGAACATTTACCGTCTGTTGAATTCTAGGATGTCTTGGGACGAGGCAATGCCGTGGTCGCCCGAGGCCAGAGAGGATCTGGCGTGGTGGCTTACATCGCTGGACGGGTGGAACGGCCGGCTGCTGGTGCCGCCGGCCAGCTGCGACTTGCAGCTCTCCACGGACGCGTCCGAGACTGGCTGGGGAGCGACACTTTCCACCCCGGTCGCTCAAACCGCCTCGGGTTTCTGGCGGCCAGAGGTGAGCGCAGAAACGTCCAATTTTCGCGAGTTACTAGCTGTTTATTTTGCCTTACTGTCATTTTGTTCTACGCTTCGTGGCAAAACCGTCGAGATATTGTCCGATAATATCACGGTAGTCGCGCTCATTAACAAGCTTGGGTCAGCTGATCGTCGCCTGGACGCCATCGCTCAGAATATTTGGGAGTTTGCTTTTGAGCATCAGGTCATGCTGGTTGCGCACCACATTGCAGGATATTTAAATGTAGACCCCGATGAGCTGTCACGTATTCCGCTGCGTCACGAGTGGACACTCCATCCGGCTGTGTTCCAGCAGTTGGAGCGCATGTTCGGCCCGCACACGATCGACCGGTTCGCCTCCCTGTCTACGGCGTTGCTACCGGTCTACAACAGCCGCTTCAGGGACCCCGGTACCGCTGGTGTGGACGCTCTGGGTCAGAACGATTGGCAACAGCACAACAACTTCATAAACCCGCCCTTCCGGCTGGTCGCACGTGTGCTGGACGCGGTGCAGGCGCAGCGTGCCGAGGCCACGCTGATTGCCCCGATGTGGCCAGGCCAGCCATGGATGGAGCGGCTGCGGCGGCTCAGCGTCTGCCCGCCGCTGCGGCTGCCGCCTGTGACGCAGGCCTGTATTCCACTGCTACCGCACCAGCAGATAGAGCCGCACCGCAACAGACGGTGGACTCTGTTCGCCTGGCGGATCTCTGGAGAGCCCGGTTAGAGGCGCTCGGCTGGTCTCCTGCTGCACGTGAGCAGTTCCCTCTGTGTTTGGCTCATTCCACTCACGCGAATCACGCGAATTAACAATCGTCTGCGCCGCAGTGGCACTTGCACGAACCGAGCTCCTTTCCAGTTACTGGTCTATGGCGAGATCATGTTCCATGCGTCAACTTCCAAATCCATGAGCACCAACGCAGACTGACCCCGCCCGCGACCTCGGTCACGGGCCGGGGTCAGCCCCTGGCGGCGAATGTCGTAACTACGGTGAAATAAAGTTAGGTAATATTTTATAGTTTCGAAATGGCGAATGGGTCAATTTAAGGTACAGCGTTATTTTTTTACCTTTGAAATCTTTCACACTATTTAGGTAATGCCTAATTTATTATTAGCACCTATCAAAAAAAAGTTTGGTAAGCTGGAAGACAGCCGTTGCTTGTCAGTTGTTGGGAATTATTCATCGTCGTCCGTCGTCCGTCGTCAGCAGTCTGTCGTCAGTTGTCTGTCGTCAGCCTCCAGTCCGTCCAGCCTCCTCTCCCACGGCCTGTTCGAGTCGGGCCCGTTCCAGCCCGGGAGCGGGGCACTGAGGGGAGGGGAGGGAGGGCGCGGGGCCACCGCCCTGGACAACGGCCCCCCGGCCAGACTGCTGGCGCCGCATCTGGGTGCGCTTTTTGCACACACCGGCCCAGCTCAAACAAACAACAGTTGCGAACAAATAGACACGGTGTCTGGTTTCGGCGCGCCTGCGAGCCACCGAAACACTGGACACATGGAGCAATGTCCGTCCTCCCCCGCCGAGCGTCGGCCGGCCGACGACGCCGACGCGACGGGCCGACGGGGACAAAAACGGCCGGTCACATCCCGTCCCGCCCCGCCGGCATCGCCCCGCCGCTGGCGACGCGTCGGTCACGACGGCCGGATCCGTCGGCGTCCGCGGCGGAATGGCCGCGCGGCCGCCGGAACGGTGCCTGACACGGCCCCTAATGGCACCGAGCGGACGTTAGCCTGATGGGACGAGCGCGGACGACCGCTGAGAAATGCGTGTCCGACGGCCGGCTCGACCACCAGGCCAATGTCAACAGCGCGAGATATGAGATAGTGTATAAATACAGATCGGGCCACACACGGGGTGAGACGAGTAGTCAACCGTGTTCAGCAGAGGAATTATTTGTAGGTGAATGTTGGGATGTGTGAGGCTTGGCGCGGCTAATGGCAAAACAGTTATGCCTACGAAATGTGACGCTCTGACTGCAAAACAGGGCCAGTGAGTGACCTGACACGGTTCCGGCTTGCCTTCCTCGGAAGCACCTGGATTTGGAGATGTAACAGTCCCACATTTGAAATACCATGAATTAATTGTGCGATGCATTACTCTGTAGGAACCTGCTAATGTAATTTTAACACTTAAACATTAGAGAGAGAGAGAGAGAGAGAGAGAGAGAGAGAGAGAGAGAGAGAGAGAGAGAGAGAGAGAGAGAGAGAGAGAGAGAGAGAGAGATCCCTTTATTGGCAGACTCTAGGTCCATAAACGAGGCATCCACTCAGCTAGGGCACCAAGGCCCAATATAACACAATCTCAACTTCCATACAAGCTCTTGGACCATGCTTTCCTTATCAAGGAAGTGTAGGCCAAGTCACTAAAGAATAGTGACAACACAATCCTGTTGGAAGATCGTGCAAGACGTGACACAAAGTTCCACACTGATCTACGATACAGCGCGTCAAAGCCAGGTAAACACTCCTGAACAAACATATTAGACGCACTGCAAAACCTATCGTAGCCAAGAAACATCCTGGCAGCATTATTAAAACACACCTTGAATTTCGTTAGAACAGATGCATGAAAGGAGTGCCAAAGGGTCATACAACTGACATTTGAACAGTAGGTAGTATACAGGTACTTCTTAACGGAGTATGAACACATTGCAAATTTTCGACTCAAAGAATTCGCACGACAGCACAAATTACGGTATTGTTGATGAATTTCCATGTCATCAGCCCTGGTGCTTTTGTTAGTAAGCTGAAATCCAAGATACTTGTACGAGTCAACAAACTTCAATTCACTACCATCAAGAGTGACAGACGGTACGTACAGTTCTCGGAAATTCCTAGGAAGAATTGTCATACACACGGTCTTTTTCGTATTGAACTTAATATCATGACCATCTGCATACGTAACACAAAGATCCAGCATTTTCTGTAGTCCATACGTCGAAGGAGAAAGAAGGACCATATCGTCTGCATAATACAGGTGATTTATGCTACCGTGAAAGTGGCACCCAAAACCACATTGTGCGATAAGCATTGATAAATCATCAGTATACACATTGAACAAAAAAGGAGATAAAATGCCCCCTGTCTTACGCCATTCGACACTGTAAATCCCTCTGATAGCTCATCGCCCCATAACACATGAAATTGTTGTGATTTGTACCACGAACAGAGCAATTTTACCAGATGAATATCCATTTTCCTTTCTAACAGCTTCGCAAAAAGTGTCCAGTGGTTTACACGATCAAATGCCTTGCGGGCGTCAAGAAAACAAAGAAATACAGGACTTCTGTTTCGCAGAAAGTAATCAGTGACCTCCTTTAGAGCATATATGGCCAAGTCAGTCGAATGGTTCTCCTTAAAGCCAAACTGGTGATGGCCTGTAGAAAGCTGGTCAGAACATCGGTTTAAAATAGCCCTCTCTAATATCTTAGAGCCCACACTGGCAATAGCAATTGGACGATAATTATCCTTTTCAGACAGTTTTCCGGCTTTGTCTTTAACAATAGGTGTTAGCACAACTTTTGCAAAAGAATGCGGTATGCACTATGCAGCCATGTCTCACCATCATAGACAAACACAAAGACAAGTGTGTGGCACATGGGACCCCAGCATGTTTAAAATGTTCAGCACTGAGGCCATCATTTCCATTAGAGCGACCAGATGCAAGCTCGTGAATGGATTTCAGAACCTCAGGGACTGAGAAACACTTGAAAGTACTTGTTTCCTCCTGAAACTGCCCTAAGACATACTCTTTACGATCCGTCTTATCCACGCTATTCAAAATGTCTGAAAAATGATCCTTCCACATGTCAGCAATATTCTTACATCCCGAAACACCATCAATCGAATGGGACAGTGGAGGGCTCCTATTCAATTTCTTTACCTCCTTCCAGAAAGCAGACAAGCTGTAAGGATTTTGAACGAGTTTATCTGCTAGTGACTTAGCCCTCATTTCTTTCTCATGCCGAAGACAGAACCGTAAAGCATACTTAAATCGTGACCGCGCCAGACGTAATTGCAGGTAAATGTACCCATCCCTGGGCTTGCCAATTAAAGCCCACAACGAATAAATATCACAGAGTAAGTCATGGCTGTCTTTAACATATTCGTTCCATCCAGGAATATTACGTTTCTTCTTATATCCTAGGCACTTCGATATTGTGAGCTCAGATGCTTTTTGTAAGCAGCTAATTATTTCATCATAGTAGACATTAATTAAATCAAAGTGTTCCTTTGTATCTGAACACTCATCACAGTGCAAGAGATCGGTAGGAACGGTAAGCTGGGCCAGACCGTCATTCACAGCAGAACTGTAAGTTACGATATCCTCGGGACTAAGCGAATCCCAGTCTACGATCCACCTCATCCTCTGTTCAGTGTCAGAAACATGACACATTCTCATGCAACTGAGTATCGATATTGACCACTATGGGGAAGTGATCAGAACTGAGAATAGATTGATCAATGGTAACGCTATCAACAAGAGCATAAAACCCCCTCGTGCAAACGATATGGTCCAACCAAGTCTCCACCTCATGGCCATCATTAATGTGTGTCACAGTGTTTGAGGGAAGGTACTGAACATCCGCTATCACCAAGCGAGAATCATTACAAAACGACTCAAGCTCTTTACCGAACTCAGTTCCTTTGACCACATCTGCATTAAAGTCACCAAGCACACATACGTATTGGGAATCAAATTCCTCGATGATCGTTTTGAGCTTACCTAGGTAGAAAACATAACTGTCGAAATTGAGGTTTGTGTTGTAAGGCAAGTATACACCAACAAAAAGAATTTTTACACCACTAAACGAATATTCCAAACCGACTATCCGGTCATCCTCATAACATACTGGCTTCACTGAGAGGCCAAAGAGTTACGCCATAATACAGCTACACCACCGTACGGTCTACCTCTGATTAAGCCCGCAGATGGGTCAATCGACGAAATACCAAAAGAAGTGAAATCACCGTGAATATTGCAGAGAGTAGCCAGATCCGACGGAAAGAGCCAATGCTCTTGAAGAAAAACAATATCCGAACTTTCACATAAACTATGAATCCCACCAAAATTACGTTTAGCCGATTTACAGTTATATGAACTTATCTTCAACATGAAAAAAATAAAAATGAAAAGCGTAAGCGTACGTACAGACCCCAGGATAGAGACCATTTCTATGAACGAAGCACTGGTGCCCTCTCCGCAGAAGGATTCAGAGTTTTTCGTTTCTGGAAGAACCGCCGAATCACAAGACCATGAGCCCACAGTTCAGGGTCAAGTAAGTTCACATCTACAGGTGGGTTGATCAGGTCAAGGCGATACGATTCGTAGCTGTCGAAGCGTGTCGGCAGCTTTTCTGCCGTCACCGATTCCGCACCTGACTGCTGTTGGACGTAAGAGGTGACGGAATCCACGCCTGTGCCCGGTGGCAGCCGAGACATAAACATGGAGAAGCGCCTAACCGCTGCCACGGCCTTTATCGGTCCTGCCTTCTTTGCCCCGATCACAGCAGGAGACTTACCAGGAAGGGAGGTCTTCACACTAGCCGTCACCTCAGGACCAGCGACGGCACCACCTGTAGCGCCACCTGCTGGAGCAGAGGGCTGCGGTTTCCGAGCTGGGGGAGTACCTCTTTTCGAACGGTTCGCAACTGTCCATTCACCCCCCTGAGGGCGAGAGGCTGCACCTTGAGCGACTTCGGCATACGTCTTGTCACTCAACACGTGCGAAGAGTGCTCAGCCAGATCGCGAGCCTGTCCAGGAGAAGCAGATGCATGCATTGCAACCTCTTC